CAAACTGGTTCATCGCCTTCTTCCTCATCTCAGAATTTAAATTAATATATTTAGCCAACCATTTAGACTGTTTGAACTGCAATACTCTGTGAACCTAAAACAAAATTAGTGTTAATATATATTTTATATTTATATAATCAATATATTTACCTTTTTCACTTTCAAACCATTTGCCATCGCCTGTTTCAAATTACGGTAGTGTACAATATACCGTTCTTTAGATTCTAGTGTTGCCATCAGTTTCCTTATTTTAGATCCACGTGGTATATCGCTGTTCGGCAAGAATGGTAGATCGTTGTGCTCATCATGTAGGTGTTGTGGATACTCTATATCGACCTCATACATCCGTCCTATCTTAGATGTATCGTTTAAATTTTCTAATCCATCAAGTGTAGGTTCTACCCATTCAAAGCCACCATATGGCATGCACTCGGCCATTGCCCAGCCATACAAGTTATTACCTTCAAAAATAAAAATAATTAATAAGTTTATCGAGTTTTGACAAAAAAAAAAAATAAAAAAAATATATATATATATAATATATATGACGTATATACTTACAGTCTTGATAAATTATCCAAGAATCTGGTTTATTCACATCATATTCAGGTGTTTTCCGATTATTCGCCTTACCATAACGCATGCTCGCTTGTGTAAGACCCCCGCGTATACCTAAAGCAAAATCGATAATTTATTRATARTTGCAATGTTTTATTTTTATTTTATTTTTAAAAATCCTTACCTTTTTCACACATCAATAACATGTCATAATCGGCCAAAAGTTGAAGTTTTATGGAGGTGAATTTCAAGCACGCATTGAAGCTTAATCCAGGAGCTGCAGTGTAATAAAAAGCCGCATCAAGGTTATACGTTGTCAGACAAATATCTCTAAAAGTCTAAAGTTTTCGAATATATCCGCCAGCAGTAATACATCTATTTCCAAATATAAATCGCTATATTCTCCCAGCGTTTTGCAGTTGAAATGGTTCCATACTGTGACTGCGTGTTCGTATTCCTTTTCTTTAATATTTTCCTCGGTTAGCGTGCTGTAGAATGACTCTTTTGGTGGTAGTGATGCTTCACCTAACCTAACCTAACCCTATACAACCGTATGATGGAGTAACTTTTAATCTACTGAAAATATATTTTAGAAAAGAAAATAATATGACTTTTATACGACAGTGGTTAAGCTACTCCAACAAATCTTTTTTTTGTACCTTCTGTTTGGCGTTTGGAAATGAAGAGAATCGATTCACCATTGGATGTAAAACTGAATCTAACAATAACTCTTCCACTAGAATTATAATATAATATTAAATTGTTTGTTTGCTTATGGGTACTAGACGAATATTTTATATGATACCTACATAAAGTCAAATACTATTAATAATAGCAGAATAAAAATTGACAAAAGATAAACGGATGAAACTTTAACAAAATGAAACAATCAAGACTTTTCTTGTTCACATAAATGTCTATAAGTACCTATAAAGTTATAAGGTATAAACTGGTATATAATTTTAAGGTTAATTCGATCAAACATTTTTTTTTTAATCTTTTCAAGTATGTAAAAATTTCATACTTTATACAAAATATTATGGTATTATGGTATTTGTTTGATGAAAAATGGGTTGTGGAAGGGCGTAGTCGTAGCTTCCTAATGAATTCACGAGAAATGTTAGGCTTCGGGAAGGTACTACACACGTCATCAACATAAGCCCTTGCATCATGTACCTACACTTCAAATTGTTTTCCAATCAAAACACTGCAGCACTGGTAATGGTGGTAATATACAGTACCATACTACTGGTAACTGCAGAGTAAGTAATAAGTATACAATAAACACAACGCACTATATACAATTATACAAACATTGTCGGAATAACCGTTTGTCCTAATTTAGGCAAAGCATATAAAAAAATTATTTATGTCTAGGTAAAACCCAATATTTTGTTATGGGTATGTTTTTACTGACAATAAAAACACAAAATCCATTTTACTCATTCAATACTCGTAGGTATCATCGTAGGTATATTATTTTATGGAGTACCTACTTTGTTGTTTTCTTTATTTTTCTGCTACTTACCTATAATTATTTTGGTTATTGACTTATTCCCATTTTCGAGATTATATTCTATTTTCAACCACTAGGATCTAATTAACATAATAAACTGTAGGTACCTACTTTATATATTATAAAACACATAAAATTAAAATGATGGATATCATGTTATAAATATATTATTCAACTAGGTATGCCTAAGTAATAGCATTATACGCTTTATATCTCCATTAAATGCATAAATACGATTCACATAAAAATATAAATACAAAATTGTCATTAAAACTAATAATATTATAATATTATTAAAACGTCAAAAATGTATGTATGTATCACAATCATGGTTTTTAAGTTTATTGATAAAATAATGGCACAATATTACTATAGACAATTTGGTGAAATATAAAAATTAAAATTATAATAGCTGTTAGGTTACTCGTATATAGTCGTATATATATAAAAAAAATTAACAATAGTTTTAAAAATCAAAAAAATCGGATAGTATATGACGTTATAAGGCTTTAAAAAATTTGGGATATCTCTTTCCCCACTTGAATATTCATTACAGATATTTTTTATTTTATTTTGTAACTGAGCATAAAATATTTAATCTTCGATTTTTTTGGTAATGTCCCCAATGCATATTGAGCTAATTTTGTTTCGTCATTCGCTACCTCTAGTCGGATTTTCGTTATCAATACCCATATAGAGGGATGGCAATGGCCCACCAACTTTAAAAATCTACGATTCCATCCCTCAGTTTCATTATTAGTCCGATCACCATCGTTCAATGTGATATTATGGACATTCCATACGTGAGGTGGACAATTCCGCAAACGTATGCAATTATCTTGTGTCGAATTAGTTGTTCTAAATGTACCGGTCACATAAGTATTGTCGAAATATTCTAATATAGCTGAACCTTTTTCTGGCATTATAGTTTTCGAAATGTAACTGACACAAAATGGATGGATGTTTCAATTTATATCGATAATCCTATACAACTGTTTTCCAAAGTAATACATTTTAAACCTTTAATAATAAAATAGAATTTTACGTATATTTTTGTGTACCTACTGGCTACTACCTATATATTATCTACGACAGTTATTTGGTATGGGTTCGATAAGACGCTCGGCCTATAATATTATTGTTGTTACTTATAGTATAATAATAATACTATATATAGGTACTATATTACTTATTAATTATTATAGCTTATAACTTTGTCGTTTTTTTCCGTGACGTTTTTTATCCGTGTCGGTTTTTACCGTGACGTTTTTTTTCGTGTCGTTTTTTACCGATCACCATTCGCCTTAGCCTACTCGATATGGGTACCTATACTGCTATACTGTTCCCACAGATGTTATGTAGGCATATGTAATCTTGTAGGAAATACTAACTGCTCAGTGCTCACTCTCGGATGCGAATGTGCGTCATGAATGGGCTGAATGACAGAATTTTCGATAGTCTCGTGTTTATATTATTATTTCAAAATATTCATTATTTTGAATATTATTTCGTGGAACTCTTTTTATTTGTAGTGTTTTATGATACTTACGCTATGTGTGTGACTACCATTTCCGTTTACTTATGCATTTTTAAAAGTTTTTATTATTTAATCTTATTTCCAAGAATCATTTCCTCCTGATTAATTAAATTCCTAGAATTATGTTAATTACCTATCCCGTGTTATTTTGAGTTTCTCAGTTAATAGCTGTATACTTATTCAAATGGTTATTTATTCTCTAGTGTAACGCCAGTTCATTTATAGCAGTAGGAAACATATTAAATTTCAAAAATTGATAATTAATTTTTTTCGGAAAAGTAAATCGACTAACCAGTAGGTATTATAGGTAATGAATAATAATAGATAATAATAATATTTGTAGTTACTCCTGTGGCATGTTTAGGGGGGATGGAGCTACAGGGGCATATGCATTTTGAATACTGTGCAAGGGGGCATGCGAGATTTCATGCTACCGCACACCACAGGTATAAACGACAAATTACGATTTCGAAAACGGACATATCAGATTAAGCAATTTAAAAAAATACATAAAGAAATTATCCAAGTATTTCAAATACTTTTTCAATGGCTACTAAAAAACTATCCAACTGAATACTAATTGTTGTAAGTATTATTTTATTTAAACGATATTAAATAATTAACATTTTTAGCTGAAATCATGCAATATTGGCATCATCAAGTATTGTGAGCTGAAACAAATTTGAAAATGGATACTGATCTAGGCACTATTAATGTGCCTAATCTTAAATTTCATTTATTATTATTGATTTGTATCCTAAATCGTAATCAGAGCCGTAACTGGTTGAGGGGTCCAGGGATTTGGGTACCCCTCACCCCTAACATTTTTAAAAGTAGACTATTTTAGCCACGAATATTGTTTATTGCATTAAAAAT